ACCCAGTCGAAGCGGCCCCCACCGCCGCTGGAAACGGCGGCTTCACAGAGTGCCATTGAAAATAAGTGTCAGCTGTCTGACTTCTGGGCTTTAAGCTCACCATTCTTGGATATGTGCTTGCGGTTTTCAGGTTGTGTAGCGAATGTACTGCTGTTTAGCGAATGTACTGGGGAAAGTTACCTAGCCCACCTGGTAATCTCGAACATCGTCAAAATTAATATCCGCTTTTGCCAATGCTTTTAAATCACCCCCTAGAAAGGGAACAAGACGGCAAATAAACCAAAAACCTGCGAATTCGGCCGGTTCGTTATGTAATTATAGTCTGGCAAAGTCAAAGCACCTCTCCGCTGTGAATGCCGGCCGACCACACTGCCGAGCGAGGCTCGCATCGCGACCGACCACACTGCCGAGCGGGACTCGCATCGCGGCCGACCACACTGCCGAGCGGGACTCGCATCGCGGCCGACCACACTGCCGAGCGGGACTCGCATCGCGGCCGGGGACACTGCCGAGCGGGACTCGCATCGCGGCCGGGGACACTGCCGAGCGGGACTCGCATCGCGGCCGGGGACACTGCCGAGCGGGACTCGCATCGCGGCCGGGGACACTGCCGAGCGGGACTCGCATCGCGGCCGGAGACACTGCCGAGCGGGACTCGCATCGCGGCCGACCACACTGCCGAGCGGGACTCGCATCGCGGCCGGGGACACTGCCGAGCGGGACTCGCATCGCGGCCGGGCACACTGCCGAGCGGGACTCGCGTCGCGGCCGGGCACACTGCCGAGCGGGACTCGCATCGCGGCCGGGGACACTGCCGAGCGGGACTCGCATCGCGGCCGGGCACACTGCCGAGCGGGACTCGCGTCGCGGCCGGGCACACTGCCGAGCGGGACTCGCATCGCGGCCGGGGACACTGCCGCGCGAGGCTCGCATCGCGGCCGACCACACTGCCGAGCGGGACTCGCATCGCGGCCGGGCAGAGCTGCTGCTGAATGAAGCCGAGCAGGTGCGGAGCAATGTCTGCTCTCGATATTGCTTCTAGGAAATGTTTGCCAGCGAACGCAGCCGCCAGTCCGTTTGATCTTAGAACCCAACACATACGTAATCACCTGTTGTCGAAACTGGGGCCGCTGTTCGTAGTGTGCCGCGAAGGCGATAAGCAAGACTGGACGGAGGCAAAGCCCGTATGACGGATATTTACTGTATGATGTCCCTGCAGCCGCCTATGGGCACATGGAAAACTTCGTTCTTCAACAATACAGTTCATTCATGAGCTGTGCTGCTTTCCCTAATGGCACGGGTGAGGAAAAGCACGTGAATATCATATGCAGCTTGAAAGCGTTTCAGGATTACGCAATTTTTGCGCCAGATGATTGTTTTCTTCAAGAAGTGTGACCATGCATACTGTCACAGCCGATCAGCGTACCATACCTTGACAAAAAGCGAACTTCATTCCCTGATTACGGTCATCAATGTATGTCATGTCTGGCCTTCATTCACCATTGCTGACAAAAATTGTGATTTGACATGATTGACACTTCCAGCTAAAAATGAGCACAGCACACAAGCATGAACGCCATCTTGAAAGTCAGCGCTATATGTTTGTCCAATGAACCTCACATGTTAGCTCCCATTGGTCATGGCTCAATTTGACACCGGTTAACCACATATCTCAACAATGACGTCCGAACTGCGTAGCTTTGAAGACGCCACTGTCGTTTCTTAGCTTACTATTGGTGCCTCACCTGCATAAACGTGGGGGAGTGTGTGATGTTGAACATTTGTGATATTGTTGTTTCCGACCCGTGTATGTTTTCGATGGCTGACCCCGCTTGGCTCCATATTACTTGGCCTGTGGCCACCGTTATCAGGGACGCAGGCGACCACAATCTGAAATTCTTCTCAAAACATGTTGCCATAGACTTACTAGGGCAGTAATAGCCGGGGGCAGCGGTTGTGGTGCGCCACCTCCCGCCTCCCCTGTCCTCCATTCTGAAAGGCCCGCCAGGACGTTTGCAAGGGAAATCAGGAAGTAATAGGTGAACCAACTGAGCAAATCATGTGTAACTTGTCATTAAGCGCTAAAAATTATTCATCCCCAACTGGCGTTTCGTGTAACGATGGCGCCAGTGCATGACTGTCATGAGCGCACACGACGCGCAGAGCACACCAACTGGTCATCGGCCTGAGGACGGCACGGTAACACCGCCGAGCCGGACACCTCCAGGCGCTCGCGGATGTCGACGCAGTGCGGCTCCGCTCCGTGCACTCGCGGCCTCTCGGTCGTCGGAGTCTCAGCTGCAGTCGTGCTGATTCGACGTGCACATTGTCCGCCATCAGGCAGCGTAGCAGGAGTTCTTGTGTCCATGGAACCGCTGGGATGTTGGGGTTTGTGGTAAAGTTGCACTTTAATAGTAAGTGTTGCTAATATCAGCTCGGCTCACTGCAATGTCAGCGTCTTGAATGCGAATTGATTCATTTGGCTGTGCTGTGACGCAACTGTCCACGCTTCGCCGCTTCCTGTTCAACGCAGTCGTCGCTGTGTCGTGTCCAGACGTGCCATGTCAAACCTGGTGATCTCTGCTGAGCAGCCGTCTATGTGCCGTGCCCAGCTGTGCCCTTGTCAGACCCGGTATTCTCAGGTTAAACAGCAGTGACTGCAATTGCTGGTGCCTCCGCACTGCGCCAGGGTCAGTCCGCCTGCCCCCTGAGCAGCAGCGGTGACCAGCGTCCCCACACTGCTCGACAGGGTCAGCCCCGCCTGCCTTCTGAGCAGCAGCGGTGACCAGCGTCCCCACACTGCTCGACAGGGTCATCCCCGCCTGCCTTCTGAGCAGCAGCGGTGGTGAGCGTCCCCACACTGCTCGACAGGGTCATCCCCGCCTGCCTTCTGAGCAGCAGCGGTGGTGAGCGTCCCCACACTGCTCGACAGGGTCATCCCGCCTGCCTTCTGAGCAGCAGCGGTGACCAGCGTCCCCACACTGCTCGACAGGGTCATCCCCGCCTGCCTTCTGAGCGGCCGCGGTGGTCAGCATCCCCACACTGCTCGACAGGGTCAGCCCCGCCTGCCTTCTGAGCAGCAGCGGTGACCAGCGTCCCCACACTGCTCGACAGGGTCATCCCCGCCTGCCTTCTGAACGGCCGCGGTGGTCAGCGTCCCCACCACTGCTCGACAGGGTCAGCCCCGCCTGCCTTCTCAGCGGCCGCGGGTGATCAGCGTCCCACACTGCTCGACAGGGTCATCCCCGCCTTGCCTTCTCAGCGGCCGCGGTGATCAGCGTCCCCACAACTGCTCGGACAGGGTCATCCCCCGCCTGCCTTCTCAGCGGGCCAGCGGTGATCAGCGTCCCCCACACTGCTCGACAGGGTCATCCCCGCCTGCCTTCTCAGCGGCCGCGGCTGATCAAGCGTCCCCACACTGCTCGACAGGGTCAGCCCCGCCTGCCCCCTCAGCGGCCGCGGTGATCAGCGTCCCCACACTGCTCGACAGGGTCATCCCCGCCTGCCTTCTCAGCGGCCGCGGTGGTCAGCGTCCCCACACTGCTCGACAGGGTCATCCCCGCCTGCCTTCTGAGCGGCCGCGGTGACCAGAGTCCCCACACTGCCCGACAGGGTCATCCCCGCCTGCCTTCTGAGCGGCCGCGGTGGTCAACATCCCCACACTGCTCGACAGGGTCAGCCCCGCCTGCCTTCTGAGCGGCCGCGGTGGTCAGCGTCCCCACACTGCTCGACAGGGTCATCCCCGCCTGCCTTCTGAGCGGCCGCGGTGACCAGAGTCCCCACACTGCCCGACAGGGTCATCCCCGCCTGCCTTCTGAGCGGCCGCGGTGGTCAACATCCCCACACTGCTCGACAGGGTCAGCCCCGCCTGCCTTCTGAGCAGCAGCGGTGACCAGCTTCTCCGCGCTGCTCAGCCGGGTCAGCCCCACTTGCCCGCTGAGCAGCAGCAGTGATCAGCTTCTCTGCACTGCTCGACCGGGTCAGCCCCGCCTGCCCGCTGAGCAGCAGCAGTGACCAGCTTCTCCGCGCTGCTCGGCCGGGTCAGCCCTGCCTGCCCGCAGAGCAGCAGCAGTGTCCAGCTTCTCCGCACTGCCCGGCCGGGTCAGCCCTGCCTGCCCGCAGAGCAGCAGCAGTGTCCAGCTTCTCCGCACTGCTCGGCCGGGTCAGCCCCGCCTGCCTTCCGAGTGGCCCGCCAGGAGCCGACCGCCCACGTCACCCAAGGCCAGCGGTCCGAGCCGGCCGACCGGACGGGCGGCCCACGCGCCGCGCCGAGCCGTGCACGGGTGCTGCGGTCTGCGGCCCGGACCGCAGCGCAGACGCGCGTGACGCTGGGCAGGCCCGCCCTGCACCGAGCCTCCCTATCAGACACCGGCCGAGTGCTACCGAACCGACGACACGACTAGAGCGAGCGTGAGGGAGGCGGATGTCTCCCCTCACATCCTACCGTCTTTTACACCCGATAATTCTTAAGCTCCATGACGACGCTCACATGCCCCCCTCCCCCTCTTGTGCTGCCGCGTGTTCTCTATCGACAAATGGCGGAGTGCCACGGCGGGCCCTCGCCACACTGATGGGCACCTTGCCAAGTCAGCGATATGTGGCAGCTGTGGCGACGCGCAGCGGCGAGTCTGACGCTCATTGCATGGGATGTGACCGGAGACGGCTGCTCTGCAGCTGCGCGCTTGCTATGCCGCGGGACGGGCGGCGTCCGCGCCGCCACTAAACCCACTGCCGAGACGGCGAGGCCGGCAAACAATGGACCCGGCGGCGATCCATTGTCATGCAGGCTGACTCTTCGCGCCATGACAGAGCACGTCCGCCGCGATCAGGCTGAACTCCCTGCACCCACGGCCGGGCGGCGGCGCTCCCGCCGCCCACCTGCAGCGCCAGCCTGTGGCGCCGGGGCGCGACGCGTGGCCAGACCCGCGACGGACCCGCGGCGCTCCGCGCCCGCGCGGGGTTCCCTGAGTTCCCGGTGCCGCGTGACTCACGGCCGCCGGCTGGTGCGCCGTGGAGTACAGGCTCGACTGCGATCGAACGCGTCGTAAGCGCACAACGCAAGCATATTCCTCTGTCGATGGGACAGGAAATGCTCGGCTGCCGCACCGAGGCGACAACATTTCACTGTTTTGTTTTTGTTGTTTTGCTTTTTATTGTCCGATGTTGCGCGTCACATGCTGTGTTTTAATTACCAAACCGGGGATACCGCAGCGTCCGCGTATGTGACTGACTTGGATCGACTTCAGGAGCCTATCCGCATTCTGAGGAAGCCCGCGGCGGTTGTTTCAGTTCACTTTCATAAGTAATTTAGTTTAAGAGTTCATAAATTGATTTATTGAGCGCAATTAAATATTTTCAAAGCGTGGCACCCATATGATGAAGGTGAGAGACGTTTCATCGTGTATATGGTAAAAGTGCATTTATGAAATCCATTATGCTTGTCGCAATGTTTTACGTTTGTTTGGGATACATTTCATCGTGTATGCGCTCAAGTGCGTCAATGAAATCCATGCTTCTAGCAACGTGTTTGCGTTCGTTTGTTTTCACTATGCTAGTGTCCGCATATCATCTGCTAACACATATGCACCTTGGCTTGACTTCTCGGTTCAAATACGTCATTCATTCGATTACCCCATGATCTTATCGATACTGTTGCGTCAGACGCAAGCCACGCTGCGTGAGGGGGCTGTACCAGACGTGCGAGGACTGTGGCTGTATTCAACGGCACGTCGATGTAGGTGATAACTGGCCAGATGAAATGAACGTTTGCCTTCCTCGGGGATACCGCACTACCTAAACTTTAAACAGCATCCTCTACTATTCCGTGAGGTGGAGGATAAGGCACGGGTCGGACCGCACCGGATCCGGACGCACCGCACCGGACCGCACCGCACCGGATCCGACCGCAGGCCGCGGTCGGATCCAGTTGTGCGCACATTAGGCGCTTACGGCCTCATCTTGTAGGGATGAGAGCCCACCCCAGACGGTCTTCCCCGCTCTCCCAGGCAGAAAAACCACACTCAGTTCAAAGCCGTCTATAAATGGACGTCAGGTCAGCAAAACGTTGTTATACAAGGCGGACGCCGCGGCCCCGCCGGCCGCGGACAAGCGCAGTTCGGCGGCGGCCGGGGGGCGCCGGCGCTGCTCAGCCGCGGCGGCGGGCCCTCTGCCAAGGGAAGCGGACCGACGACAAGCCTCGGGCTCCGCGTCGGCGGCGACGGGACGCGTCGGGCAGAGACCAGGGTACACAGGGGCGACGCTGCATCCTGGGCCGCGGCCGGTGCCGCGGGTGTATGCTCGTGTCGATCAGGTAGCGGTTATGACCGGTGCGCGGCGTGGGCAGTATCAGGGCCCTGCGCCACGAATCGACTCCAGGACTGGGCGCAGCGTGAGAGCGTCCACCAGTTCAGCGAGTCCGCCGGCGCCACCGCTGGAATGCTGTAGGCACAAGCACGCACAAAGCCCACATGACTAGCACCTCTCCCTTTGTCCGCGCAGGCACAGGTGGTATAGGCTGTAGCAAAAACCGATCACAGCAGGGCCAACACTTGTTGCCTATCACGTGTTTGGCGAGCCGGTGCGGGCCGGCGCGGGGCGGAGCGGGGCCGGGGTCAGCTGCCGGAGCGCAGCGGCGACCGGCCGCCGCGCACCGCCGGCCGTCACACGTGGCCCGCCGGGTACATGATCTGGCAGCCGTGCTGCGAGTGCTCGCGCACTTCCTGCTTCAGCGCCTGCACCTGCTCGCGCAACCGGCCCACCACGTCGGCCAGCTCGTTATTGTCCTGCCGGATGACCTGTACCCGGTCCTCGAGCAGCGCAATGCGCTCCAGCTTGCGCTGGCGGCACTTGGTGGCCGCGATCCGGTTGCGCAGTCGCTTGCGCTCCAGCTTGATCTGCTCCTGTTGCGCCATGTCAACGGGGCTGGACGGCGGCGGGCTGTCGGAGGCGGCCGACGGCACGCGCTGCGGCTCCTCCTTGACGCGAACCGGCGCCGCCGGCCGGCCCGGCAGAGCCGTCGCCTCCAGCGTGGTGTAGACGGCCGGCTCGGGCCGCTCCTGCTGCTTCAGGCTGTCCAGCGCGTCGACGAAGCCGCGCGCGTAGTCCTCCTGCTCCTCGGTGGCGGGCCGGCCGAACACGGCGTTGATGGCCTGCGGCCCGCCGGGCGTCGGCGTGGTCACCAGGCCTCCCTGCTGGGCGATCAGCCGCTCCAGCTCTGGCGAGCCCAGTCGCAGCATCCGCACGTCCGGCGAGGTGAGCAGGTGACTGGCGCGCGGCCGTTTGGCCGCCGACGACACCTCCAAGTCGAGCGTCATCTGCCGCTTGAGCTGCTGGACGGACTCCATGCGCGCGCCTCCGTACTCCTGGTCACCGTACAGCGAGGTTTCCATCGCACGCGCCGCCACCCCGGGACACAGCTGGTGCGCCCGCCTCGCGCGTGCCACACCTAGCCGCGTACAGGCAGGCGCCGTGACACGCCACGCACGCGCCGCACACGCCGACGTCCGCTCCCACGCCCTCTCACAGCGCGGCCTACCGTCGGACAGCCACCGATCGAACAAGCTGCTCCCTCTCCCCAGCACACAGTGACTCACCACTGGGCCTGCGCCGCGTCGCTATATAGGATGTGGTAACCGCCCGAAAATAGTCGGATTCGTCACCGGCGCGGGCGCTGATTGGTCGGCCGCGCGCCGACGGATGACGTCACGGGCCGCTGGGCACAGGCGCGGCCGTGACGTCACGCACAGTGCCGCAAGTGACAGAAGCGCTGGCGCCCACAGATGGACCACAGCCGCCCCCCGCGTCTAAGATCGGCTGTGAGATGCACCTCACTGTCTCACTACAAACGCGCGGGGACCTTCTCACTTCCTGCTGCTCAACTATTCAGAAAATCGTTCCGTGTGCTGGGCGCTTGGCTGGGGAGAGTCGGCCCTGTTCGATTTGCACCTCTAGAGGCCCGGCTGCGGCCCGGTTCCTGGTACGGCCGCCGACGGAACTGGGCCGCCGGCAGCCGCGGCGGTGCCGGCGCTGCATGGGCGTCCCGGCCGGGCCCGGCCCGCCCGTTCAGCCCGCCCGCCTCAACGGCAGACCCGCGCCGCCCGCCGAGCGTACGCCCACGCCTGTCTCGCGTACAGCGGCGTCAGATTGGCGACGTACCCCCCGTGGCTGCCAGATCTGGTACCGGCTGTCCACGAATATCGGATCTGCAGCAACTGGCTTATGGTGGTTAAATCAGTGTTTGACTCACCCGGACTCTCAGGCCGGCTACCAACTGCCCAGAGATATACACCCCTGACTGCCCGTATTCACAAGTGTACGAGGTAAGAGTAAGCAGGCTCAACTTAAAATGAAAATAGTGGGATGTTGGTCAATTTGGATCAGAGGTGCTGTCTCTTGGAAGATATTGTCCACATTTGAATAAAAAAGGATGGACGGACTAGCTGTCCGTCTCAAAATTGTCCGAAAGATCGGGTTGTCGAAACGATTCCAGTTTTTTTCAAATATAAAAAACTACTGCTTGCAACCAATAACCGCAGTCACTATTGCCATCGCAGCATTCCTCTACTCGATTTGAATAAAACGAAAAAAACTATGCTGGGTAGGCAATGTGTATCACGGGTTGTCATGGAAACATTAAGACTTCACAATTCACATCGATCTCGCTAAGCACGGCTGTCACTAAGCCAGGCGACGGCAGCGGAGTCGTGTGGTGAGTGGTAGCGAATGGTACCTAGGTAGAAAGCGAGTCTCACAGGCTCCCCTTAACAAATTTATTTCGACGCCCTTTCAGTCGATGCCCTCTATTATAACAAGTTTAAATGCCATGTTTCAGCCGTGTGTGCTCTAATGACAAATCGTTTATGTCCCCGAATCAAATTGTTTTGATGCAGAGCAGCATGAGGTAAGTTGGGTTACATACCAATTTGCGACACGGCAGAGTGATATCGGCTGTCTCCCCCAAAATTCCAAAGATCGTTGCCCGCGTTCATTTATTTTCCAAAGAAAATTATGAAATGTTTGGAATTTTAAAAACTTAGAATTTAATGAGTACCTCTAATTTGGACAATCGGTTTATGGTATGAAAAAAAAGCACGAACATTTTTTCATTCCCTAGTTACATCTGTAGTGACACCGAATCGCGTGACTGAGGCACTGAATTACTGTTCAAGGAAGGGGCTCCCAAAACTGGCATTTCTGCAGATATTTAGCGGTTACATTTATCTCGTGTCAACCATACAGCTGGCCGATGGTTCGCAGCAGCGATTTGTAATCCCAAAGATGAAACTATCCCGGATCTCAGAGGTTCCAGAACTGCAGGCAAAGAACCAGACCAGCTTTTCACGCCGTGGTAATCTCCGTGCCGAGTGGGTGTCCGCCGGGAGCTGGGGGTGTTATGACGACACAGCGCCTCGAGCGCATATCTTCTTTTTATCTTCTTATCTGTCTTCGTCGCATCGTTCGGTGCAGATATCTCCTGAAACACATTCTCGCAAATATTCAATTGGCAGATTTATGACATGTATCTGCAGTTCTACGAGACGAAGATGATAAAAAACCAGGTGCTGCTTTCTCCCCACAAAAGCAAATAATGACTGAAATGGCTGAGCATGATGAAGCTGAAGCCAACAGGTAGGGTTTTCGCTTCTTCACTGGCAGGATTTTCGACGCTCACTCTGTTCAGCCTGTGCCAGCGCTAATGACGGACGGCGGCTCAGACGTATCGTGCACCAAATTTGTGCCTCCATGCACCAATATTTGTATCATGACCAGGAGCACACCAGAGGCTTGGTAAGCAGGTGGCAAAGGGTTCACAAGAACCCTGATCGCGAAAGCTCTCCCCAAAAATCTCAGATATTGTCCACTTAATTTTGATAAGGGGATATCCCTATTTTTCTATTTTTGGTTTGCTCCTTTCATGTTTATCTTGAGTTTCTCCAACTAGAACAAAAGCGAAAAGTTAACGGGAGATGTGATTCTTTTTGCGTCTTAAAGCTAATAAACAGAAGGAGCGAGCGTTAAATGACTGCGTAGAATAATCCATCGGCGCTATTCGTTTTACAATGGCTCAGCAAGCCTCATCTAAGCCGATAGAACTCAGAGGCTTTGCCAGACTTTTTGCTGAGTTCTACAGAGTTATTGAAGGTTCCGGGAACTTAGATTGTAGATCAAATGAGGTCACGAGTTTGCATGAACTTGGCCAATCCAGGCTCGTCCGGGAATATTCAATTTTCATTCAGAATTGATTAGTGAGAAAAGTTATGCAACATCATTTTGTGCTTGCGCGTTCGCAGTGTTGGAAACAAAAACACCGACGCCCGGCTTTGCAGTCCCCTCAGGCTGCGCGGCCTGGGTTTTGCAGTCCCCTCAGGCTGCACAACCTAGGCTTTGCAGTCCCCTCAGGCTGCACGACCTAGGCTTTGCAGTCCCCTCAGGCTGCGCGACCTGGGCTTTGCAGTCCCCTCAGGCTGCGCCTCTTAGGCTTTGCAGTCCCCTCAGGCTGCGCGACCTGGGCTTTGCAGTCACACTCAGGTGGCGGCCGGGCCTTTGCCGCCCCAAGGCTGCGCCGCGTCTAGCGCTTTGCAGTCCCCTCAGGCTGCGCGACCTGGGCTTTGCAGTCCCCTCAGGCTGCGCGACTAGGCTTTGCAGTCCCCTCAGGCTGCGCGGCCTGGGCTTTGCGGATGATTTGCGGCTTCGCGAATAACAGTAGGCGGTGGCCGGTAGGCCGGGCGAAACTGACGACACGTCTGATATAAGAATAATATCTTTCCAGTGTTGCTTTAGGGGATCAATTCGCACGTTTATAAGACAGTTGTCGCGCATGCTTTTCGTGTGCGATATTTGAACCCATGATAGAAACATATTAGCATTTACAATACCAGAAACTGCTGGCGGAATTTCAAGGTGGAACTGGAAGATTAAAGGGAGGATCTCTATTTTGAGTGTCGTTATTTCCGTTAGTCTGTTTAGAGGCATCCCAAATGTATACAGGGGAATAGATAAACCGTCTAATCTCTGCGTGGTACGAATTGATTTGTGTGATTTCCGGAACCATTATTTCACGACGGTCGCTCTCGCTCCCCTGACACCCTATGCTGTGACGGTGCCTGGCGTTGTCTGCAGCGGCCCATGCCGTTCCGCCTTACTGAAACTGCAGCCCCGGCCATATGCAACTGCAAACACCATAGCTGCTCTTGGTCCTAAGATTGCAAGCGCGCAGACTGATAACTTTTTGTGCAATTTATTTCGAAATTCGATCCTGCAAAGGGATGGACCTTCTCAGGCAAGCTGGCCTGCCTTTTTTAATTTTGGTCTTATTTCGAGCCACTCTTTTAAACACCAATGAGACCCTTTGCCTTGTTCCCGGCCATGAGCTGAACGCCACCGATCCCGGCGTAAAGTGCCTACCGGCTTCCATTCTGATAACATGGGGGCGGGGTCTCCTGGACGATCCAGAGGGTCCTGGAGAGATGCATCATATGTCGGCCCCTCCTTGTCACAAGGAGCCCTTTTGGCCCCAGATCGACCCAGGAACTCGCGTCGGCACAACAAGATCCCCGATCGCTGCAGGTGGTCCAGCAATTGGCACAGTGACTTCAGTTCAGCTTAACTGGCTTTAGCTGAAATGGGGTGGAGAGCCCCCGTTCGGTACTGGGGTCCTGAGTGGTCCAGGACCGTTTCATTGGCGCATTGTGGATTGTTATAATACATTATCGTGTTTGCTTGCACTGTCAGAGGACCCATGCAAGAGGCCCTCTGCCATTCGAGGTCCCGTCCCTATCCTTCAACAAATGCCCCCTGACCGACTTATGACCCCTTTCTGGCGCAGGATCCCTTGAAGGCACTTTGGGTCTCTGGCCGTCACAGAGTCTCTCGTTGTTGGAGGGCCCGATCAATGCAAGTCACAGGCCCCGGCCTCGTCCCTGTTTGAGAAATGGGTCTCCAGGGCTGAGACCGGCACTGTGCCCACTGTACAGTGTTAGTGGCCTCTGGACAAAACAGAGATCCGCGTTGTTCCAAGGATCATAATCCGGTCTGAGGGGCACTCTGACTGGCGTAGTCGCGGCCCTACGGGCGGAGGTCATTGATTGGCCTGGTGGTAGTGGCTGGAGTGGTCTACCACCCAGCGCAGTACGACTGGCACGGTCATGACTCATATTTCACTGAAAGTAAGTGTCGGGGTTATCTGACGTGCAGAATACACCAGGCACGAAACGACGTCCCTCTGACTTAGTGGTCACAAGCTACGTCCCGAGGTGCTTTCATAATTGGAGTTGGCGGTGGTGTATTCCTTGTGTCCAAGTGCATAACAACACACAAAATATTATAACCAAAAAATCAGAGGTCTTGGTTGTGGTCGATAAACTAACTGCACATTCCCCACTGTCAAGACAATTCGAGGCATTAAAAAACACCATGGACTTGTTTCAACTGACGCAGGACATCTTACCAATGACCATGCATCAGCTGTCTAGCGACGATGGGCAGTTCCTACGGGCGATTCCGGAAAAGCCGGGACCGGTTTAAAGAGACTGTTGAATTGGTGAGATTATCATTTGTTTTCACCATGACCATATGATATCCACA